GGTTTGTTGGAGCAAACACTCACTCAATTCCATTGCTGCCTTTCTTTTTAGGACATTAATGTTTTGACATATCAACCTCATTACACAAGATATTTCAGACAAAGTACTTTGTGTGTAAATCCAGTAAGTACAGATATGTTGGAAATTTTAACTTCCAACCCAAGTGTCACCAGCCTACCAAACCCATACTGGACTAATTCAGTGTGTGAATGTGATGATTCCTTGCCTGCTGCTAAGCCAAGTAAACAAAAATATGTTCTTGTAGCAATAAGCACTTGCAAACTAGTGAAATAAACAGGAAATAATAATAAATTAACAACAACAAAAAAAAAACCCTGAAAGATGTAACAAATAATTTCATTTAAATGTTGGTTAATTTAGTATAGGTAGTGACCATATAGATACAATTAATGAATATTGTTTTAGTATCAAAATATCAACTTTAATGTTCAAAACGTCTGGAAAGGTGATATTTACTGGGCTTGATCTCATGAATTTTTATTAAAAAATAGTTCTTGGAAATTTTTTTTTCTTAGAACTCTTCTTTATCTGCATAGTGATAATGAGATAGAGATGTAGGGCACAGATAGTGTTCACATGAATTATTGTGCAATAGGAATTTTGAATCGTATGAATATATGATTAAAAGGTGTCACCTATGGTTTCAGGCTTGAATAATATTAAGGCTGAGTTGCCTGAACTTGTTTTAGGTCTGAGGTGTGAAGGGGCAGGACCTTTGAGGGCATCATCTAGTTCATCCAATGAAGTATTTTTCTCAACTTTTTAATTTTTAATTTTTTAATGTTTGTTTATTTCTTTTTGAGAGAGAGAAAGAGGGAGAGAGGGAGAGAGAGAGAGAGAGAGAGTGAGAGAGAGCACCAGTGTAGGAGGGGCAGAGAGAGAGAGAGGGAGACAGAGAATCCAAAGCAGGCTCCAGGCTCGACATGGGGCTCGAACTCACTAACTGTGAGGTCATGACCTGAGCTGAAGTCGGACACTTAACCGTCTGAGTCAATCTGGAGCCCCTCCAATAAAGTATTAACGTGTTGGAAAGAATGATTCTTCCTCATAAACTAAATGCTAATGTTAACTTCCAGAATCTGATAGATAAGGTATCTTCACAAATATTCATGTAATCAAGAATGAGAAGGAAAATACTTAAAGTTTTTAAAGAGCAAATAGTTTCAGTTTTGATCCAATTGATTAAAAAAATCATGTGAGGGTTATCACAGAAATATGTGAAGATTTTAATATCTTATTCCTTTTATCATAAATTTCTGAATGCTACTTTGTTTAGGAATGACAAGCTCAAAATCTAAGTATATTTAGAAACAAAAATAAAAATGAAGTAAATTCTGTTTCCAGAAGAGTCATAAGTTAATTTAACCAATTATTTCAGATGATGAATGCCCTGCGAGGCTATGCTTAAGCAGCTTCTCTGGATCTGCTTTTTCTTCTCTGTGAAACCTGAACCAGTGGAGGGCAAAATGACAGTATCCAGAAAAATAATACATATGTTTTCTCTTGGACTCAGCAATAAATCCCATTTCTAGGAAGCTATCCCAAAATTACATTGGGAAAAATATATACCATGTGCATAGATTCATTACTTATAACACTGTTCATAATGGCAAAAGATTAAAAACAAGCCCATCAGTGGGGAGCAAGTTGAATAAGTTATGATATCATCACATTATGGAGTATATACAACCATAAAAGGAAGTGAGGAGAATGTCTGCATAATGATAGATTGGCATCACCAGAGTACATTAGGTGGAAAAAGCAAGATGGACATCAGTGTATACAGTAAGGTACATTTCACCATCAACCGTGATGAGCAGTCTGATTCACAACAACTAGATATCATGTTTATCTTGATGTAATACAGCATAAAATACATAGATTCTCCTATGAAGTATTCTTGCCAAAAGTGCTTGACCGGAGTCTAAGTCTATAGGTCTAATGCTCAGTTTACTTGAAATATGGGGGACAGAGGAACATTTTAAAGGGGACATGGGGGAACAATCAGATCAAAGCAGAAGGTGGGACACTCTCCACAACCACTGGTCTATTGTCTTTAAAAAGGAAACTTATGGGGAAAAGATAAAGAGGTTGTGATAAGGACTCTTCTAGATTAAAAGAGAATTTAGACTTCAGAGCTTGAATTGATTCTGGTTTTAGACCAACCAATTCCCAAAGACATTTTGGAAGCAATTAAATATGGACTAAGTATGAGATGGTATTAAAGAATTATTGTTAATCTTATCACATGGGATCATGATATGGTGATGAGGTAGGGAAATGTCCTTCTTTCAGAGATGTCCCTAGATATTTAGGATAGAAATACTATGTTGTCTACGATTAAAATGCTTCAGAAAAAAATAGTTTAAACAAACTGGCCAGAATGTTAACCATCACGAACTCTAGGTGATGACTATATGGTAGGGGGTATTATTATTATATTATTTCTACTTTTATGCGTGTTTGCAAATTTTATTTGATAAAAAGCTAAAAAATAAAATAAAACAACAAGACACTAAATGAGGTGACTCCTTCAGTCCCTATCCCTTCCCCCTCTTGGAGACTGGGAGCAGGCAAGAGCTGGAGCAGCTGCCTTGACCCCCCTAAATAGAAGGCATGAGTTGAAGTTGGCAGAGTAGTGCCAGGTCTGGAGCACCCACCCACCAGCACTGGACCACCTGTCTACCCAGGGAGAAATAATTATTATAATTAAGCCATTGGAAAAATATTTAATTTTGAGTGTTGTAAATTTCCAGGATGTGCCAAGAAATGAAATATTCATGCTGAATCTCAGAATTCCCACTGTCCCCTCCCAGAGCTTTGATACTAAATCTTAGACCCTATGGGATTTGCAAAAGTGGGGCCCATGGAAGAACTCAATGTGATATTTGGAACATTGTTAATTCCTAATAAAAGTTGCCAAAGAATTTCTTTGATTTATGTCACTAATGACCAAATGACCTGCCTCCATGTAGGTGGCTTATTAAATAGAAATGAAGCTACCCTGAGGATTCATAATAAACATACAAAACTTTGCATAAATGTCCTTCCCAAATGGTATATTTCACCAACACTGAGGAAGGGAAGGTTGCCGTAAACAGACGTACTTAGATATAAGAAAACTGTTTCTAAAATGCATGAATAAAATACATGTGTAAAATATCTTCTTGGCAGGATGGTGATTGGCAGAAGTTTCTAGGCATGGTTTGTAGTCTGTGGCAAAAAATGATAGTTAAACATTTAATTTGCTTGAGAATTTCTGCCCAGACTGTTATTATAGGATCACTTATTTGGTGCTGTAAAAATTTTATATTTCAAGAAGTGTTTGATGTGTCTAAGACATATGGTAATGTTAATACCACCCAACCTTCTAACCCACTTCTCATCTTTAATGTTGAATTGGCTTCATGAGTTCTTGTGGGGAATAATCTTGTGGGCAATGATGGCTCATTAACACAAACAAAGCAACTGACAGTAGGAAGACTGAGGCTTCCCATTAAAATCAAGCTATGATGAGAGACGAAGACAGTGATTAAAACCTGAGCGAGACCCCCTTCCTGTATGGAAGTGTTAAGTGGAAGTCTTACATTCACCCTTCCCTACCTCGTTTTACCAATCTGTCTCCCTCACACATTCCACCCCACTCCCACCCACCTCCTCAAGCTCTGCTACAGTCAAGGAACTCAGCTTCCTGGCCCATTGCAACACCTTTTGCGGATTTTTGACTTTCTAAACCTCTGCCTTCCCCAAACCTCCTATAATCCAAAATATGACTGCTGTAGAATTTTGTCAGAATACTTACAGACACAAGTAATTTGTCTACACAAAGTCAGAATTCTTAAGTTACAGTGGTAAAATCCTATGGGCATAAGATGACTCTGTGTCTACTATATGATGCTTTTTGTTCAGTTTTACTTCTATCTGCTGCCTAAACAATCTGCAACAGAGGGGACTGGGAGCAGGTTAGAGGGGAAAATCAAACCAGAAATGGGAATGGGGGAGAGGAGATCATATATACACTGAAAATAAAGGAAGGGGATTTATTTGCATTGACTTGCATTTAGTCACAATATTTATTTTCAGATAACATTAAAAGCAATTAAATTTCTATATTCCATAAAAGGGAACCTGAGAAATACTGCATTGTCCCTAATCAAAAGTAATAGTAACAGAAACGTCCAGACTCTTCCCATGTGTTTGTTTTTATTTTAATTTAACAATAAATTTACTCACTTGCAGTTATTCTTAGTGTCTTACCCCCATTTTGCAATAATTAGCAACTGTAATAAATAATTATATATATTTTACTGAGCTGTCTTTGGTTCTTTCTGAAAGTGAATACCAAATTTATGGGAAAAAAAAAAACAAAACAGGAACAGACACATGGGCTGATTTAAGAGTACATACAATACTGGTTAGCTGTCCCAATATTTTCATTGACTCTTTTATGGTGAGATTTCAGGTGAGGAATTGTTCTTGGCCCATATAAATTTTGGCAACGTAGCTTGTAGCTCTCCTAATAAATCAAAGTGTCTCATATTCATGGTGCCAAATATTTTCGTGACTCACTTGTATCTGTAGTTGATAAAAATCTATCTCCATGCCTTGGGGTGATGTTAAACATGATGTGAGGGGCACCTGGGTAGTTCAGTTGATTAAATAAGTGTCTGACTCTTGATCTCAGCTCAGGTCTTGATCTCAGGTCTTGAGGTCAAGCCCCAGGCTGGGTGTGGAGCCTACTTTAAAAACAAAACAAAACAAAGGGGCACCTGGGTGGCTCAATCGGTTAAGCATCCAACTCTTGATTTCAGCTCAGGTCATGATCTCTGGGTCGCACTCTGTGCTGACCCTGAGGAGACAGCTAGGGATTCTCTGTCTCCCTCTCTCTCTGTCCCTCCCCCATTCACTCACTCTCTCTCAAAATAAGTGAACATTCAAAAAAATGATGAGAAAAGTAAGTGTAACCCAATGAGTTTTTCATGAAGTTAATTTTATTTATTTTAAAAGACTGTCCTTTATTATAATAGTATTCCTTTCTTGGCTTTTAATGTTGAAATAAATCCTTCCCTTTATAAAACAATGGTGACAGTAGCAGGTAATTGTTTTAAGGTGTGCTTAATGTTTTTAATTTAACAAATTAAAGGATGGCAAACCTGTGTCTCCTTAGTTGTTCTGTTCCCACTAGAGGAGGACAGATTTTACTTGTAGTGGAAATCCAAAAGCTGAAACCCACTGCTCATGGTCTGCATGGTCTGCTTTCCCATAGTCTTCCTGGATCTGCTTTGAAAGTTGTTTTTCCAGGTGACTGAATCAGATTACAGCTAGGAGAGAAAAGGATCCAATTTCAAAGGTGCTTTTCAAGTCATAAACTGACTTTTCAAGTCATAAACTGACTTTTCAAGTTGTAAACTGCTTGATACTAACACTTTTTTTTTTAACTGAAAAGATGTTTTTGAATTGAAAAGACCATCCCTTCTGAATAAACTGAGAAAGCATTTTCTTCATCTGCGCAAAAAAGATCAAAGAGCCTGTCTTTCTCCTGGGCTCTTCGCTGTGATTTCAAAGTAATCATTTTCAGATTGATAAACCAGAGTTGGCCTTGGAGTTACCAGGTTTTTCTTTATTAGGAAATCTGAGGTTAGCTAGAACCCAGCTGCAGAACATAAGAGAAGAAGGAGGGAAATGTGAGGCAATGCTTAATGGTTTCATTATGTACAATTAACCATTTATTTCACACTCCTTAAAAGCAGGGGCCTGGGATGATGGTGTCTGCAAGAAAAAAAAAAAGTGTAACTAAATGCCCCTCAGTTTTTTACCTTCAGTTAAAATTTCATCATTGCAGAAAATTTTATAATTCTTTGCAATTACTTGTTTCTTCACCATCTCCTCTCCCATTTTGGGAATTCTTAGTTCAAGTTCCCGATCTAAATGGGGGATTTAAAAAACAGTTATTGTTAAGGACAGAGAATAGTATTTTTCACCTAAAAAGAAATATGGATGTAGATATGGACTTAAGTTTCCACATCAATCAGTAATTTTGGAACATTTTGTAAAGAGCAATGACTAGGCACTGTAAGGATAGAATTTCGACATACATGTCAATACCAAACTTTAAGTTTTCAAAAGTACTTTTTTTGGGTAGAACAACCCAATTTTGTGTTTTCTGAAGAAAGAGTTCAAATATTCCTTGATCTGACCAATTCATAATTTTTTTTTTTTTTTTTTTTTTCGTTTTCGTTCCTGTCGGGGATTTTTTTTTTTTTTTTTTTTAATTCTTCCAATCGCCTCTCCAGCGATTTTAGGTCTTACTGTTTAGTGAATGAACTCTCTCGACCCAATTCCAGCAGCCTGGTTGCCCTTGACTCTAGCCACGACTTCCAGGATCCCCGGCTTTCCCTGCATTCGGGGACCGTCCTTTCCCGGCCAGAGGCCCGGGCCCAGGTCGAGCGGCACACTCTCCGGGGCGGCGGGACGCGCGCCCAGAGAGGAGGCGGCGACAGAGCCCGAGCCGTCCCAGCGGCGGCGCCCCGAGCAGGGGTTGGCCGGGAGCCTGGAGACCGGCTGCAGGCGGACGACACGGCCGCGGTTCCGAGCAGAGATACACCAGCCCAAGAGCACCAGGAGGGGAGATGGTGGCCACCCGGAGCAGTTCGCGGGGACCCAGTGTGTCCGCACCCCCGGAGGGGAGGGGGGAGCTCCTGGACGCGGGGCGGGGGCGCGGGGCGGAGCAGGGGCGGGGCTCGGGCCTGGATCCCACCTGACTTGGGGGCATCCCCGGCAGAGGCGTGGCCCTGAGACCCTGCGCGGTTTCTGGCGGGTTAAGACCCGCAGCGGCTGCGCTTGTCAGCCCTCGCCAACTCCAGCTTCTCCAGGCTCGAATTCAGCGTCCAAGTTGCAGCCGCCCGAAAGCCCACACCCAGCAGAAGAACGTCTGCTCCTGGACATAGTTCTCCTGAGGGTGGTGGGGTTGGCTCAGGGCCGCAAAGCCGTCAGGGGTTGAGCCAGCCTGCAGCGAGAGGGCTGAGAGGGCTGAGAGGGCCAGAGAACCCCGCAGGGCGCCGACAGCCGTCCGTCGGGGCTTGCGAATTGGACTCCTAGATTGCGAGGCCCCTGATAGGTGATGACCTAAGCCTTATCCCCGGCATCCCTCGGGGCGATTTCTTCCGTGCACACTTCTGGTTCTGTTTCTCAAGATCACCCTCTTCCTCCCAGAAAGGCTGACTCAAGCTGCAGGTGCCAGCCCTCAGCTCTGAGTAGCCGTGGTCTCTGCGGAAAGCTGCATTTGAAAAGAAGGGCTGGGATCACAAGCTGCTCTCTGTTCCGGTTGCCCCCATGCTCCTGCCATGGTTAACGGGACTAGCGGCTGGAATAGGCTTCCTGCATTTCGTGCAGAAACTGGTGTTCCCTTATTTCTGGGATGACTTCTGGTACCTGCTGAAGGTGGTACGCTATGGAATTCGGCTGGAGATGTACGTGCTGAAAGGGGAGCTGTTCACTGTCCTGGATAAATTCCTGAGTCTTGCCAAGAAGCAGCCCCAGAAACCTTTCATCATCTATGAGGGAGACATCTACACTTACCAGGATGTGGACAAAAGGAGTAGCAGAGTGGCTCACGTGTTCCTGAACCATTCCACGCTGAAAAGGGGGGACACCGTGGCTCTGCTGATGAGCAACGAGCCTGACTTCGTCCATGTGTGGTTCGGCCTGGCCAAGCTGGGCTGCGTGGTGGCCTTCCTCAATTCCAACATTGTCTCCAACTCCCTTCTGCATTGCATCCGCAGCTGTGAGCCCAGGGCCCTCGTGGTGGGTGCAGGTAAAAAGCCCGTCCGGGTGAGGTCTCCATGGGCAAAAGGCAACTCTGCCTGTCATCGCTCCCTGGCCCCTGTTGGTTACAACACTTCACAACTAATACTTCGGGTGTGTGATGAAGTGTGCATAGTATGGCTACAAAATAGTTTTACAGTTCTGTGACTGCTGGTTTAATATCCCCTGTTCTCTTTCAATCACTTACCCTTTTCTAGGTTAGTAACCACCAGGAAAGGTTCAGAAAACTTTTCTGAAATCTCTGCTTCTTACTATTTTGAAAGAGGGGCAGTTTTACGGTTATTGGTATCTTCCATGAATGCAAGAACACAGAGAGAGAGAATTCGGTAAGGTCTAGTTTTGTCAGATCTGACAAGATTATTTGATGAGTAGGAAAGTTACTTTCATTTCATTGTGGAATACCTACCTGCCTCTAACAGTAACAATATGAAGGTTGACTACATTTGAAGAGCACATTAATCTGAGTTGCATGAATTCTTCATGTCTGCTCTTATTTTGCCATCCCTGCAAGCTGGGACTTGCATAGCAAGGTTAGGCTCCCATCTGCCAGCCAGTGGGCGGGCTCTTGGAGGAGTCTAGGCTTCTTGCTCTCCCCCATCTCTGCATTTTTTTTTCTTCGCTTCCATTATGTTCTAGTCTTGTCTCCCTCCTCCCTTGGGTTAGGCTTTGGATACACATACTGACACAGAACTGCAAAGAAAAGTTTTTGGTTGAATACCTCATTAACAAAGAACCTGGGAAGTTGAGTTGCACCACCAAGTGGAATTGAAGTATGACAAGTGATACTTACTTGGTATAATGTAACGGGTTTATGTATATTCTTCTTGCATGAAGCCAGGGAAGTAGAGGATGAAGAGGCTCCATGGCAAGGACCTTAGCTAAAGTATTTAAGTATTTTAGATGAATAGATACATACTGACAACTCGTGCAGAGTTTTTAGATTCACAGAGCAGTCTGGAAAAATTATCTACATTGATATGTAAGTGATCTTGAAGGTGTAGAACTTCACTAGTAACCTTTCTTGTATCATTATTGCACACCACACAATAATGGGTTAGGCGATATATAGTACAAAGGTTACTCAAGACTTTGATTTCTCCTTCCTCCTATTGTCCTTCCAGCTCAATTTAGGACCTGATAAAGTAGCAAAATGTTTACTCTCAAGCATTGATTTTGTCTTGTTTAATCTAAAGGAGTGGAGAAGCTGCATAGTCTCTCCTGTGTATTTTTTGTTCATTTGTTGTTCATTTGTTCAAGTTTAACTAGCGTGATGAACTTTCTCTGAACTGTGACCATAAGCAGGATAAATAAGTCATACAGAATTTTGATATCATGGTGAATGGGGCAAGTGTGAATGAATGTGAATGAAACAGAAAAAAAAAATATCATAGTTCTTCTTTGGATATATTTTAACATTTTATTCCATTGCCCCTATTATTGCTCAATCCAATTAGATCACTAAATCCAATTTAGGTCACAGTTTCTAGAACAAATCAAAATTAAATTGTGCTGAAATTTGATAAAGCCATAAATTCCTTTGACAAGAGCAAACGAAGAGGGCCAGAGTGTCCCTGAAAAGGTTTCTGTAGCCATATTTTTATTTATTTATTTTTCAATGTTTTTTTTTGGGGGGGGGGGACAGAGAGAGACAGAGCATGAACGGGGGAGGGGCAGAGAGAGAGGGAGACACAGAATTGGAAACAGGCTCCAGGCTCTGAGCCATCAGCCCAGAGCCCGACGCGGGGCTCGAACTCACGGACCGCAAGATCGTGACCTGGCTGAAGTCGGACGCTTAACCGACTGCACCACCCAGGCGCCCCATGTAGCCATATTTTTAAAGCCAACCTGAGAAACATCCTACAGCCAGTCTCCTGAGGGATTCCTCTCAAAATGTATAGGGCTTGTTACCTTTCAACATAGACATTCCAACTTTGCTCTTTGCTGAGTGACTGCCTAATTAGGACCAATTAATTTTGCAGTGTTACTTGTGCCAGAGTTTTGCTTTCCTTGCCAGTAACTTAATTGCATTGTTTCCTTGTTTTTAACACCAACAGTAAGTTTTGGTATATAAAAGCCTATTTGAGATGCTGGAGTTTTAAGCCAACAGCAGTCAATTTGCTTAGGAGTAGATAGGTGGAGAAATCAACCTTAAATCTTTTTAACAGTTCTTTTCAGCATATCTTTAAAATATATAAAGTACATAAGTTTTTCGGCTATGGGACACTTCCGTTTCATTTAATTACTAGATTTTTGTTGTTGTTGTTAAGATGTGGCTTATATCACAAGCACCTTTCTATATTTGAAGCTCTTAGCCTGAAATACAAGAAATTCTGTATTCTTGGCATCTTGAGTTAAACATATACATATGGTTTTTAGAGCCTTAAATGTTAGAGCTCTTAGAATCTCATGGAATGTTTCTGATGGAGATGTACCATTAAACCATTATATCCCCCGGGAAACGGTATTGAGGTGGAAAGAACAATCAGATGGTTGAGATGGAGATAAGCCAGACATTAAGGATAAGATGATCTGCTGCGCTCCCTCTCGTTTTACTTACTTGCAAATGGTGACAATACCATCTATTTCACAGTATAATTCTGAGATTAAATGATAGACCTTATGTAAAGTGGCTAGCTGAATGCCTGGTATGTGCCAACTGAAGCCTTAGTGAATTGAAATAATTGTTACTATTATCATTATTGAGTCATCTGAGGCCTTTAATAAGGAAACTTGTTTGGATTTTGCTGCTACCATCTAATCTGGTGTTAGCTATAAGAAAGGCTAGTCCGCGGTTTGGCATAGGACCCCAAACACCTTACTTTGGTATGTTTTAACAACATTTTATTTTCCAGAAGTTATCGAGAATCGATTTCAAACAGGTTTTACAGGTAGGCCAGATAATGTCTTATAATTCTGTGTCCCTGAACAAGTCAAAGGGAGAAGATAGCAACTAATCTACCAGGCAAATTGTTAGTGGCAGTAACAAAAATGTTAACAGTTGCCTTTTACTCAAGGCTGACTATGTAAAAGATATTCCCAGTGACTCCGAGAGGCAGGTACAGAGTTATATATTGGAAATTGAAGGGAAGAAATTGATTGAGGGTGTCCAGGTTGACACAACTCAGGTTTAAGAGCAGACGTTCCCAAGCTGGTCTCCTATATAAGACAGTGCTGGACTGTACAGCCTAATTGTTTCTGAGGCTGTCAGTCCCCTGGTGATACTACTAGGAAAAAATACGCATTCCAGTTATATAAAAATAGTAAAATAAAAGTTGCCAATAGTAAAACACCAGGTAGTTCATACACAGATAACTAGAAACAATTTAAATGGTTTTAAAACTTGTATTTCATTCTCTCACAGTATAAAGTTTCAAAAATACTTACTAGGAAGTTTCCTGTGTGTACTCTGTAGTTTTGAAGAAGTGTCACATGGCATTTCAGATTTCCCTGGAAAATGTCAGTGCTTACTGAAAAATAGGCTTAGATTAAACCTAGTCCTTTCCTCACAATATCTCAACTTTGATATTAGTAATAGTGGCTGTTGCCAAGATGATTGTCTATGTCTATATGCTTTTCTCTTTGCTTAGAATAAATAGGAAAATGGTGGGATGCTTGTATATCACTTTAAAAAGTCTGTGTAATTATATTCTTTGACCTATTTACTACTACTACTACTACTACTACTACTAATAAATAATCTCTTCCTTTTCTAAAGTACTTAATAAATTACAAATTGTTTTTATATGTATATCTTATGTGATTCTCACCACAGCCATAGTAGCCTTGTTCTAAAGATCAG